AGGATAAATAGCTTACTCAAAGATAGACATCCATGGCCGGGAGCAGTGGCTGATGCCTGTAATCCCAGCACTTTGGGAGGCTGAGGTGGGCGGATCACTTGAGCCCAAGAGTTTGAGAGCAATCTGGCCATCTCTACTAAAAATACAAAAATTAGCCTGGTGTGGTGGTGCGGTGTCTGTAATCCTAGTTACTTGGGAGGCTGAGGCACAAGAATCATTTGAACCTGGGAGGTGAAGGTTGTAGTGAGCCGAGATCTTACCACTGCATTCCAGCCTGGGTGACAGAGACTCTCAACAAAAATAAAAAATAAAATAAGATACACATCCAGTAAATGGTGGAACTTTAGGAACTCCATCAGTGAGCGTGTGTGTGCGAGATTGCTGGGTTGTGTGTTTGGCCTTAGGTAGATACTGGGAGCTTCTGTTAGGATCTCATCTGGTGGTGGAGTCCAGGTGTGCATGTCTGATCCTGCAGCGCCCCCTGGTGCTCATACTCTCACACTGTTCACTTGTCCCTTCCTGTGGCCCTGCCAAAGGGAGGCTCCATGGGTCCACCAGTCCCTAGCCTGCAGGGTCACACCTAAGTCTTTGGCTTGCTCCCTTCACCTCTGCGTGGCTGCTGGGTCCTGGGGCAGAGAGGGGCTTTCAGGGGTCCTCAGGAAAGAGAGACCTGAGAGGCATGAGGCCTGGAATCACTGCAGCCTCTGCCTGGTATGGTCACTTCCCCCAGCCCCTGGGGCCGCGCTGGCCATTCCCCTCCCTCCCTGGGTGAAGGACGCCCTTGGTGGAGAGGATTGGAGCTAGGACAGGGTCTGAGGCCTCAGCAGCCAGCTTGCCCACCCTCTCCAGGGACCGCTGGTATCGGTGATACCCAAGCTGGTAATGCCCCCACCCCCATGCCCTGTGTGGTGCACCTCAGGCCTCTGTACATCCAGGGTGGCCCACACCAGACCCCTGATTTCCAGGCCTGCTCCTGCTTGCCTTAAGGCTGTCCTAGAGGGGCTTCTTTTTCCTGACCTCTGTGTCTGGTCTGTCACCGGTCTTGTCTGCAGACTGAATCTAGAGCCCACCAGTTCCTATTCATCCACCTGGAAGCCCATCCTGGTCCCCTCCCTGCTCCCTCTCCTCTCTCCCTCCTCTCCCCTCCCCCAACCCCCCTCCTCCATACAACAAATCTGTTCCTGTCAACCCCTGGTTAAAACCTTTCCAGGGTTCTCCATGAGTGTCAAGTCCATGCCCCGTTGCAACCCACAAGCCCTCCCACGTTTGCTCTTTGCTGACCTCTCCAGCCCTACAGAGGTGAGTTGCCTCCTTACATTTCTTCCTCCAGGCCTCTGCTCCTGTTGCTCCCTCTGCCAGGGACACCCTTCCCCCCGTCCCCCACCCCTCCAGTCTTCCTCGCTGGCCTGCAAGGTTGAATAACCTCTGTTTATCCTTCAGGTCTCAGCTGAGATGTCCCTCCTTCCCTGTCCTCCAAATCTGGGCTGGTCTATATCTCTGTGTCCTCACAGCTCTTTGTGTTCCCAGTTACACACACATACTGTATTATTGGGGCCTGTTTTTTTTTGGAGACAGGGTCTCACTCTGTTGCCCAGGCTGGAGTGCAGTGTCATAATCTCGGGTTACTGCACCCTCCGCCTCCCAGGTTCATGTGATTCTCCTGGCTTAGCCCTCTCTAGTAGCTGGGACTACAGCTGCACACTACCACACCTTGCTAATTTCTGTATTTTTAGTAGAGATGGGGTTTCGACTGGGGTTGGCCTGGCTGGTCTCAAACTCCTGACCTCAGGTGATCCACTTGCCTCAGCCTCCCAAAATGCTGGGATTATAGGTGTGAGCCACCGCACCTGGCCAGGGCCTGTCTACTTGTCAGGCTTTACCAGCTTGTGAGGACTAACTTCCCTGGTGGAAGGAATGGGATGAGAACAGCAGGATTTCAATGTCATGTGGAAAACTTGGACTTGTATTAAGAGAGACAGGGAGCCAGCGGGAGATTTCAAGCAGGGGAGTGACATGACTCAGAGCCCTTCTGGCTTTCTGCCTCTCCTTCCTCCCCAAAATGGACTTCCCAGAACACAGCTCGTTCCAGCTGAAAATGAAAATGCTGGCTGGGCAAGGTGGCTCACGCCTGCAATCCCAGCACTTTGGGAGGCTGAGGCAGGTGGATCGCCTGAGATCAGCAGTTTGAGACCAGCCTGGCCAACATGGTGAAACCCCATCTCTACTAAAAATACAAAAAATGAGCTGGGCGTGGTGGCAGGCGCCTGTAATCCCAGCTACTAGGGAGGCTGGGGCAGGAGAATCACCTGGACCCAGGAGGTGGAGGCTGCAGTGGGCCAAGATTGTATCATTGCACTCCAGCCTGGGCAACAAGAGCGAAACTCCTGGCCAGGTGTGGTGGCTCACACCTGTGATCCCAGCACTTTGGGAGGTCGAGGCAGGTGGATAACCTGAGGTCACGAGTTCAAGACCAGCCTGACCAACATGGTGAAACCCCATCTCTATTAAAAATACAAAAAATTAGCCGGGTCTAGTGGTGGGTGCCTGTAATCCCAGCTATTTGGGAGGCTTGATCCCGGGAGGCAGAGGTTGCAGTGAGTCGAGATTGCACCATTGCATTCCAGGCTGGGTGACAAGAGCAAGACTCTGTCCACAAAAATAAAATAAAAAATAAAAAGAAAATGCTTTTCATGTACCCATCAGCAGCCAGCAGTCTGACTGAGGAAGGGCATTTGTGGAACTGGAGCTGGTAGGATGGCATAACAGGGCAGGGAAGACTCTGGGATATGTATTGAAATCCAGGTGTTGGCTGGACACAGGGGCTCACACCTGTAATCCCAGTGTTTTGGAAGGTTGAGCCAGGGAGATCATTTAAGTCAAGGAGTTTGAGGCCAGTCTGGGCAACCTGGTGAGACCCTGTTCTTACAAAAAGTAAAAAAATTATGTAGGTATGGTGACAGTCGCCTGTAGTCCCAGCTACTTGGGAGGCTGAAGTGGGAGGATCGTTTGAGCACAGGAGTTTGAGGCAGCCGTGCCACTGCACACCAGCATGAGCAACAGAGTGGACCCTGTCTCTAAAACAAGAACAAAAACAAACCCGGGTGTTTTAAAGAAGTGGTGCACCGATCCTCAAAGACGTAAATGTTTACTCCCACGCTGAAAACCTCTGGCTGCTTTTCACCTTTTGAAGCCCAAGTGGGTGGGTCACTTCTTTTCTCTGTGACAACAGCCTGACTGATGCCCTGGTCCAGATGTCCCCCCACACCCCAGCCTGTCTTGCTGTGTCTTGGTGGGTGCTCTTTTGGATCTGTGCTGAGCTCCCCAGAAGCTGGCCTCCCCAAACCAGGAAGGGAGGGAGGACCCAGCACTGGGACTAGGAGCTGGCATCCAGCGCCCTGAGGGGCAGGGCTGGACCTGGTGAGGGATAGGTCTGGGTCACCTTGTGGCCCTCCTGGATTCTGCTGTCTTGTGCAGGGGCCAGAACTGGACAGCAGAAAGCAGAAGACCTCTCCTACCCCAAGTCCGAGATATTAGTCAGGGGCTAAGGTCTGGTATAGGCTGGATTCCCTGGTGCCCCAAGACTTCTCCCATTCCAGGTCCCTGCCATTGGCATGTACCCTTCTGGCCAGGCTGGACAATGTCTGTGGGGTCTGAGTATGGTTTTGGCACCTGAAGGCTCTGGGTTCAAGTTCAGCAGCTGCTATTCCTATACTCTGTGTTTCACTCACTCACTCAGCAGACATCCCCTGACTTCAGGTGCCACCCGATCCTGCTGTGGGTGACTCAGTGAGGTTAGGCTGATCCCCACTTTCAGAGAGCTCCTCTGAGTGGGAGACAGACGCAGACACAGTGCTAGCCTCGGGTGGACTGTGCTCTAATGGATGCAGACTCTGGGCCACACAGTCCGGAGAAGGTAGGGAAGGCTTCCTGGGGGGAGTGAGTCCTCCGAGAAGCTTGAAGAATAGGCTGGAACCTACCATGAAGCAAGTAGGAAAGGGACTTCAGGGAGAGGGAAGAACTTGTACAATGACCCAGAGATGGGAGGCAGCCTGGTGACATTTCAAAAGAGTACAATGCCAGTCACAGAGCAGCTAACACTTTCAGGAACATTTGACATTTTTTTTAGACAGAGCCTCTCTCTGTCACCCAGGCTAGAGTACAGTGGCATTATCTCAGCTCACTGTAACCTTCGATTCCTGGGTTCAAGCGATTCTCCTGCTTCACCTTCCTGAATAGCAGGGACTACAGGCAGCTGCCACTGTGCCTGGCTAATTTTTGTATTTTTAGTAGAGACAAGGATTCACCACGTTGGTCAGGCTAGTCTGGAACTCCTGATCTCAAGTGATCCACCTACCTCCACCTCCCAAAGTGCTGGGATTACAGGCATGAGCCACCGCGCCCAGCCTTCAACATTTTCATAGAGTAACAAGAACCCCAGCGGTCATAGCAGACGCTACGGGAAGCAAAAACCATCAAATGTTGTCTTTATATGTGACAGTTTAAAGAGTTTTGGAGTCTGACTTCTTGGGATCAAATTCCAGCTCTGTGACTTATTAGGTACATAACCAGGGACAAGTTACTTAAACAGGACCTCATGTACACTTGGTTGAGGTTAAAGTCTCAGCAGGGGGAGAAGCGGGCTGCCCTGCTGGGACTCTGCCACCATTTGGGTTTGCCCCAGCCAAGAAGGTTCAGGCCCAGCTTCAGAGCTCCTCCTGGGCCTTCTTGTCCTGTTTCTGGTGCCATTGTTGTATCTTGCTGGGGAGCTCTGACCAGAACTGCATGTGGGCCTCCTTAAACTTCTGTCCGACCCGTGGCACTGGATTGATCTCCAGATATTGTTCCACCCGGTTGAATTGGGGCCAAGGAGGCAAACCCTTGCTATTGGGGTCCCTGGGTGGGAGGAATGAATGAGGATCAAGGCTTCCTGTGCTGTCCCCCAGAGGGGCCGACCTGGGCACCCCAGGCCCAAAACCAGCTATGCCCACTCATTCACTCACCCTGTCCGGGCGAAGTGGGTCCACTGGGCCATCATGGTGAGGCTTAGCTGCTTCTCCTCTTCTGTGGCCTCTGGAAAGGCTGGAAAGGTGACAAGGACAGAACTGAATGAGAGTCAGGTGGGAACTGGAAGGGACCCAAGGGTCCTCAGTGCTGACTGGAGACCTCTGTTCCTGCGAGCCCTGCCCGGGCCCCTTGGCGTTTAGCAGCCTAGGGATCACATGTCTGTCTGTCTGTCCTCACCCAGGAGGGAGCTTTCATCCGTGAGGAAGGGACCTCCAAACACAAAAGCAGTCTCGGCCCCATGATCAGCCTTCACCCAGGCGGGCTTGATCTTTGCAAAAGAACTAGGTCGATGCTGGAACTCATAGAAAAAGACAGGGCTTCCAGCATCTACAAAGAAAGGACGGGATGGGAGTTAGGCACCTGCAGCCTGATTCAACCCTGCCTTTTCGAGCACACGCTCATGATACCACCAACTGCCACGATGATGATCATGACCAAATGACTAGCCACAGACATTACTGAGTGCTTGCTAGGAGTCGGGCACCATTCTGTGTGCTTTGTGTCATCATTTTAATTTAATGTGGTATTTTTAATTTTTGAAGTGGTCTTGCTGTAGACTGGGCTGGAGTGCAGTGGTGTGATCAGAGCTCACTGCAGCCTCAGACTCCAGCGCTCAAGTGATCTTCCCACTTCAGCTTCCCAAGTATCTGGGACTACAGGTGTGCACCACCATGCCCAGCTAATTTAAAAAAATTGTGTAAAAATTGGGGTCAATAGGTTGCCCAGGCTGGTCTTGAACTCCTGGGCTCAAGTGATCCTCTTGCTTCTCCCAAAGTACTGGGATTACAAGCATGAGCCACCCATCTCGCCCAGCTGGTGTCATCATTTATTTAATACCCATCACAATAGATTAGATGTATATTAATGGAATTAATAGATTCGATTCTGTTATTATTTCCATTTTGCAAAGGAGAAAACGGAGGCACAGAGTGGGTAGGTATCTTGGCCAAGGTCAAATTTTTAAAACTTGGAACTGTTCTGGGTCTGTGTCAGGGATTAGCTACTCGGCTTGGAGGAAGCAAGACTTTTATCTCAGAAGTGCTGAAAGAAGATGAAATCACTCAACTGAGTGAGCCCCTGAGAATTAGTGACAGTCCTGCTGGGTGACCCTTGATGAGCCACTGTACCTCTCTGAGCCTTGGTTTTTCTCCTCTGCAAAGTTCCCTGCTGGAGACACTTCTCATTATTGTGATGCTGCATCCCAGAGAATGGCAGTTGGGTGTGGGGTGCAAGACATCGGGGAAATCAGCACCCTCTCACGCCATGTCACCTGTGATGACCCAGCTCCTTCCATCAAGTGGGAGGGATTGAGCAGGTGGCCAGGGATAGGCTTACCTTGAAGATGTCTTGAAAAAGTGAAAGTAGGCACATTTAAGAGCATGTCACCCATCAATTCCTGGAAGGCCTGGCGTTTGGCTTGTGGATCCAAGTCACTGCCTAGGTATTCATCTATGATGGTGGGCATCATCTCAGGGGGCACATCCTGGGGCAGGAGGCTAGGCTCAGGCCTGCTCAGCACACACAGCTATGGCAGACCCTCCCAAGAATCCCAGACTCTCCCCTCATGTCCCAGGGCTCATGGTCCAGGGAACAGCCAGCTGCCTCTCTGCCTCCTGGGAGTTTGGGATAACTTCAGGTTTGGAGTCAAGTCCCAGCTCTGCAACCACTGCTTGGCTGTGTGACCTCAAACAGGTGGCTAGACCTCTCTGAAAGTCAGTCTCTGCCAGGTAGCCTATGTGAAGTCCCCAGCAAAGGGTCTGGCCTGAAAGCAGATGCTCAGTTAAAGTTAACTGTGAAGTAAGTGAGAGCAGAAATGATGGAGGCTCCGCTCAGCTCCAGAGGGTAGTGATGAGGCTGTGTGAATGGGAAGGGCTCTGGGGCTTCCAAAGAAGGGAAATGTACAAAGATTGAACAGACCCTGGTATGGAGATCCCAGGTAGACTCTTCAAATGCAATGTCTAGTCTCCTTCTTAGAACAGCCCAGGCGAGTGGGCAGCATCATCCCCATTTATAGAGGAAGAAATGGGCTTAGAGGGGATTGGATAACTGGGCCAGCAGCCAGGGCTGGGATTTGGCCCCAGGTCTATCTGGCTCCACATCTGACAGCTGAGGAACTGGGGTCAGACAGAACTGGCTTAAACTCTGCCTCTGCCCCTTCTCCACCATGGCACCTCAAGCCTCAGTTTCCTCATCTGTAAAATGGGGACAGTGAGAATTCCTCTGTAAAGGGTTGCAATGAGGATTGAAGGAGATGAATGCCTCTCCTAGCGCTCAGTGCAGCACAGTCCCTGGCACGTAAATGTGCTCATTAACGGGCAGTTTTATCTTGACAATGTTGGTGATGAAGATTTTCCTTTGAGAACCACATTGACTCATGTCTAAGGAGATTCCCGAGTGAACACAAATGTAGCTGTTAGACCAAGAGGCTTGGTGGTAGCTGGTACTGTGGGTGTCGGAGGTAGGAGCAGAGACTGTGCTGTTGGATAGGACACCCACTGGCCTCCTCCCTCCTGCCTCTTGTCTCACCATACTGGTCAAGTAGGGTGTCAAGATGGCCAGCATGTCCTCCCGGCTCATCTGTTCCATTGTATCCAGGAGACCCCAGCCCTGTGTGGACATCAAGGCCCTCTCAGTGCAGCCTGACCACTGCCCCACCCCCCGACTCCCAGACCTGGGCAGGAGAGTGTTCATAGCCCTGCACCCAGTCCCTCATTATGGAGCCAAATGTGGCTGAACCCACAAGTCCACACACCCAAAAAGATAAACCTGAAATTGGTGGGAGATGGGTATGGGTGGGGAGAGCAGCCCAGATACAACAGGCAAGTGGTTAATGGCAGTATTGTAGAGAACAAAAGAATTTGTTCAACTGTTTTTTTTGTTTTTTTTTGAGATGGAGTCTCACTCTGTTGCCCAGTGGCGTGATCTCGGCACACTGCAACCTCTACTTCCCAGGTTCAAGTGATTCTGCTGTCTCAGCCTCCTGAGTAGCTAGAACAACATATGTAGTAGTAGTAGTAGACGGATGATATGCCCCGCTAATTTTTGTATTTTTAATAGAGGTGGGGTTTCGCCATGTAGGCTAGGCTGGTCTCAAGCTCCTGGACTTCAAGTGATCCGCCCACCTTGGCCTCCCAAAGGGTTAGGATTACAGGCGTGAGTCACTACATCCAGCTAATTTTTTTGTATTTTAGTAGACATGAGATTTTACCATGTTGGCCAGGATGGTCTCTAACTCCTGACCTCTTTATCTGCCCACCTTGTACTCTCAAAGTGCTGAGATTATAGGCGTGAGCCACGGTGCCTGGCCCTGCAGTTACTTTGTTACTAGGCTTTTTGTTAATTTGTGAGAACAGGAACAGAAATTCACAGATGGGTAAACAGGAAGTATACACAAAAGAGGATGTTAATCTTCACTAGGAATTAAAGAAATATACAGAAAGTTGGCTGGGCGTAGTGACTCATGGCTATAATCCCAGCGCTTTGGGAGGCAGAGGTGGGAAGATGACTTAAGCCCAGGAATTCAAGACCAGCTTGCACAACATAACAAGACTCCATTTCTAAAAAAAATTAAAAAAAGAAAGAAAGTTGGTGTAGTGGCATGCCTACTGAGTAGTCCTGGCTACTCTCTGGAGTAGAAGGATAGGTTGGGCCCAGGAGTTAGAGGCTGCAGTGAGCTGTGATTGAGCCACTGCATTCCAGTCTGGGAGACAGAGCTAGAACTTGTCTCAAAAACAAACAAACAAACAAACAAAAAAACTCAATAAATTTATTTATTTATTATTAATTTATTTGAGATGGAGTCTTGCTCTTATTGCCCAGGTTGGAGTGCAGTAGCACGATCTTGGCTCACTACAATCTCCACCTCCCAAGTTCAAACAATTCTCCTGCCTCAGCATCCCAAGTAGCCGGGATTACAGGCACCTGCTACCACCCTTGGCGAATGTTTTGTTTTTTGGTTTTTTTTTTTCCAGAAATGTCGCTATGTTGCCCAGGCTGATGTTGAATTCCTGGGCTCAAGCGATCCATCTGCTTTGGCCTCCCAAAGTGTTGAGATTATAGGCGTGAGCTACTCTGCCTGGCTTACATATTTTACCTTATTTATTTATTTACTAATAAATAAATAAATTTAATTGATTGATTGATACAGGGTTGGGCTCTGCTGCCCAGGCTAGAGTGCAGTGCTGAGATCTTGGCTCATTGCAAAATTCGTCTCCCAGTTTCAAGCAATCCTCCTGCCTCAGCTTCCCTAATAGCTGGGATTACAGGCGCCACCACGCCTGGTTAAATTTTGTACTTTTAATAGAGATGGGGTTTTGCCATATTGGCCAGGCTGGTCTCAAACTCCTGACTTCACGTAATCCACAGAGTGCTACGATTGCAGGCATGAGCCACCGCACCCAGCCTGAGTCACCCACTTCTAAGAAACATACTCAGCAACAAGTCCTGGGCACAGCCTTCCACGCCAGGCAGATTTCCCAGGTCCTGGGGGCTAGCCAGGTTGGGGTTCCCTTGGTTTCAGCTCTAAGTTGGTGTGGGGTCAAGGCTGCCTGCCAGAGTCTAGGGCATTGACCCAAAAACTTCTACAAGCTTTTTCTTTTCCATTTCTTTTCTTGATGGAGTTTCATTCTTTGTGGCCCAGGCTGGAGTGCAGTGGCGCAGTCTCAGCTCACCGCAACCTCTACCTCCTGGGCTCCAGTGATTATTCTGCCTCAGCCACCCGACTAGCTGGGATTACAGGCATGTGCCACCATGCCCAGCTAATTTTGTATTTTTAGTAGAAATGGGGTTTCTCCATGTTTGTCAGACTGGTCTCAAACTCCTGACCTCAGGCGATCGGCCCACCTTGGCCTCCCAAAGTGCTGGGATTACAGGCGTGAGCCACCGCAACAGGCCCATTTTTTTTTCTTTTGAGACAGTGTCTCACTCTGTTGCCAAGGCTGGAGTACAGTAGCCTAATGTTGGCTCACTGCAGCCTCTGCCTTCAGGGTTCAAGTGATTCTACTTGACTCAAGCCTCCTGAGTAGCTGGGATGGTAGGCATGTACCACCATGCCCAGCTAATTTTTGTATTTTTAGTAGAGATGGGGTTTCACCCACCTCAACCTCCCAAAGGGCTGAGATTACAGGTGTGAGCCACTGTACCTGGCTCAAGCTTTGTCTTTGAGTGTCAAGATTGCATGAGCCTCTCTCTCACATACCAAGGGACCAGTGTGAGGGGATTGATTCCAAAGGGCCAAGTCAGAGGACAAAAGTGTGGACATGAAGATATTCACTGCACTATTAGCCTTAGTGGTAAAAACTAGAAGTTGCCAGGGCTGGGCACCGTGGCTCATGCCTATAATCCCAGCACTTTGGGAAGGCAAGGCTGGCGGATCACCCGAGGTCGGGAGTTCGAGACCAGCCTGACCAACATGGAGAAGCCCTGTCTCTACTAAAAAAAAATACAGGCTGGGCGTTGTGGCACACATCTATAATCCCAGCATGTTGGGAGGCCCAGGTGGGAAGACCATGAGGTCAGGAGTTAGAGACCAGCCTGGCCAACATGGTGAAATCCTGTCTTTATTAAAAATACAAACAATTAGTTGGGCATGGTGGCGGGTGCCTGGAACCTGGGAGGCGGAGGTTGCAGTGAGCCAAGATCATGCCACTGCACTTTAGCCTGGGCGACAGAGTGAGACTCTGTCTAAAAAACAAACAAACAAAAAAAAAAAACAAAACCGAGCACGGTGGTGCATGCCTGTATCCCAGCTGCTCAGGAGGCTGAGGCAGGTATCAGTTGAACCCGGGACGGGGAGGTTGCACTGAGTCAAGATTGTGCCACTGCACTCCAGCCTGGGTGACAAGAGTAAGACTCCTTCTCAAAAAAAAGTTGCCCAAATTCCAAGATGAAGGAACAACATAAGGACACCCTCCATTTGTGGAAGGTTCACAGCCATTAAAAGTGATTGCTTGGCTGGTGCAGTGACTCATGCCTGTAATCCCAGCACTTTGGGAGGTCCAGATAGGAGGCTTGCTTGAGGCCAGGTGCTCTAGACCAGCATGGGTAACAGAGGGAGACCTGTCTCTACAGAAAACAAAAAATTAGCAGAGTGTGGTGGCACAGACCTGAGGTCTCAGTTACTCAGGAAGCTGGGAGGATCGCTTGGACCTGAGAGGCCGAGGCAGTAGTGAGTCCTGATCGTGCTACTGCATTCCAGCCTGGGCGATGGATCGAGACTTTGTCTCCAAAAAAAAAAAAAAGTGATTGCTTTGTCTTAGGGCATCCATCCAATGTGGCAAGATGGGGAAAAAAAGAAAAGAAAAGAAAAGTGAAAAAAATGATTGCTGTGAAGATGGGTAAAAGAATAAGAATGACATAAACAAGATGCTGGGGTTGAAAGTACAGCGCTGACTTTCTTATGGGAAGTTCTGTGTACCTGGAAAGGACTGGAAGGCACTTCGCTCATGAGGTCCCCAGTGGCTTGATAGCTAAAATCTGAGAGTCTTTGTCAATCGCTCTGGTACAAAGTCATGCTAACCAGTCTCATAGAGCCTGATGTATAAACCAGACACAAAGGCAGGAATATGCTGCCCAGATCAGCACTGCCCAGGAGGCCAGTTTGTGCAAAAGCCTGGTTCCCTAAAAGAAAACATTTGCTAGGGTGGGAGGTACTGGCTGGGGAAGGGCCTTGAAGGGCACAGATGCCAGAGGACACTCACCCTGGGGATGAGCCAGCTGAATTCATGGTTATTGACACCCATGAGGAAGGGCACCGAGTGGAAGTGCTTCTCCTTCAGGAGCTCCTTGGGGCTTTTGGGGAAGACAGTGCCATCGATGGTGAAAGGATATATAGTAGTTTTCTGCGGGAGAAAGCAATGCAGGAGGCTCCCATGTTAGGGCCAAGCCTCAAAGGATAGGACTCTAAGAGCCACTGAGCCGCAGGACTGAGTGGCTGAGCCTGGAGGGAATGTGAAGGGATGGAGATCACCAGGGCTAAGGGGATTGGGGGAAGCAGGAGATCAGGGCAACACATGCTTCCAGTTTCTTTCCTAGAAGACAGGCTTGCTGTGGGGATGGGGATGGCCCTCTGTTTCTGTCCCCAACCTCTCAGCCCCTTCCCCTCATGAGTGGCTGTCCCCAGCCCCACCTGGGAGAAGACTGGCCCTCTGTTCCTGCAGGGGATGGACAGAACCCCCTCTGTGTCATTGCCTGGCACCATCCCCAAAAAGGTGACCATACCAGCTTCTTGCTAAGGACTAGCTCTTCTCCTTCCTTCTGCCGAAGGCACTGCACCATCTCAGCCGGGGAGCTGGAGCTGCAGGCCATGGAGTTTGCAATGTTCTGGGGACAGATGAAAGAGTCATGCCTCCCTCCCAGCCACTCAGCCCCACCTCACAGTGCTCTGCCTCCCACAGAGAGAGGGTGCATCTGTAGGACAGCTGAGTGTGATGTCACAGATCGGCCCGAGGCTGGTCAGAGACTTGCCACCACCCCTGAGAAGCCTGCCCTGACCTTTGGCTTGGGTGGTCTCAAGGGCCCCTGTGTGTTCTCTATTATACCATAGTGCTATTATCTGGGGGGAATGGGGTGCTGAGTACGTATTACCCTCTAAGAATAGTGTCATTATCTATTTTATTTTTGAAGACAGTCTTGCTCTGTCCCCCAGGCTGGAGTGCAGTGGTGTGATCTTGGCCATTACAACCTCTGCCTCTCAGGTTCAAGTGATTCTTCTGCCTCAGCCTTCCAAGTAGCTGGGATTACAGGCATGTGCCATCACTCCTGGCTAATTTTCTGTATTTTTGGTAGAGACAGGGTTTCGCCATGTTGGCCAGGCTGGTCTTGAACTCCAGACATCAGGTGATCCACCCACCTCGGCCTCTCAAAGTGCTGAGATTGCACTTTGAGCCCTGTCCACAGCCTATAGTGTCATCATCTATTAATACCTAACTATATTAGTGCCTGCTATATTAATACAACTATATTAATAGTTAGGTATCTATTAATACCTAACTATTTTTTAGTTTCCCTCTGTCGTCAGGCTGGAGTGCAATGGTGCGATCTCAGCTCACTGCAACCTTCACATCCTGGAGGTTATTCAAGCAATTCTCTTGCCTCAGCCTCCCAAGTAGCTGGGACTACAGGCATATATCACTACGCCCAGCTAATTTTTGTATTTTTAGTAGAGACAGGGTTTCACTATGTTGGCCAGGATGGTCTCGATCTCTTGACCTTGTGATCCACCCGCCTTGGCCTCCCAAAGTGCTGGGATTACAGGTGTGAGCCACGGCGGCCAGCCATACCTAACTATTAATACCCACAGCCACAGGTCTGTAGAGTCTGTGGAGTAAAATGGAAATGAGACAGGTTTAGTGAGGAAGGTGTTGCAGCATTTGCTGAAGTCTGATAGGGAAAGGTGAAGGAAGCTGAGGCTGGAGCAGGGCCAGGGAATGGGTAGGAACTGAGGCTGGAGGGATAGCTTCAGGACAGCTCAAAGGCTGAAAAAACCAAGCCAGGGCATGTGGACATTAGCAGGATCGCTAATATTTTTTTAGGGAGAGAATGGCTGAGTTGGGTTTTTCTTTGGACAGAGGAGAGACGAGGAATGACCTCAAGTCTGTGATCGAGAAAATCTCTCTTGGCCACGGGGAGGCGATGGGTTGGGGAGGCTGAGAGGTGGATGCTGTTGTCTATACAAGAGTCAACATGCCTGGTTGAGGGCGGTGCCTTACGCTTGTAATCCCAGCACTTTGGGAGGCTGAGGCGGGCAAATCACCAGATCAGGAGTTTGAGACCAGCCTGGCCAACATGGTGAAACCCCGTCTCTACTAAAAATACAAAAATTAGCCGGGCTTGGTGGCCAGTGCCTGTAATCCCAGCTACTCGGGAGGCTGAGGCAGAAGAATCACTTGAACTCGGGAGGTGGAGGTTACAGTGAGCTGATTTTGCACCACTGCACTCCAACCTTGGACGGAGTCGTGAGATTCCATCTCAAAAAAAAAGTCAACATGCCCATGTTGAGGTTCTAGAATCATCTTGTACCCAGTGGTTAAGATGCCCAGCCCACTCTGCCTTGGCTGCTCTCTGGGGCCAGGTGAGGGCACTGACCCAACCTTCCAAATCCTGCTCACATTACCTCCCTCTCCCCGCCATGGCTCTATCCCTGCTCTATCCTGTCCTCTGTCCTGGACTCTGCCCTGGCCATTTCACTGGCCTCTCGGTCTTCAGGATGGCTCTCTCCAACCCATCTTCTACTCCAAGTAGCTCAACCTTGCCTTGCTCAGCTTGTTCCTGTCCTCTGGATAGAGTCCAGATTCCCAGGCCTGGCCCCCACTTCTCCAGCACCTTCAGTTCCTGCCCTGTCCCCTAACCTGAGAGCTTGCTGCTGTCAGACCTGGCACTCTCTCTCACATCTGCAGCCTTTGCAGGTGCAGTTCCCGCTGTGGCTTCCCCTGGCTTCTCTTCACAAAGGATTACAATGAGGATCTAGGCTGGGAATCCAGAGCCTGAATGGAGACCTCTCAGGCAGCAGGTGTTTGGGAATGGAGACCCCCTCCACCATGGTGCCTGGGGCAGAGAGGGGTGCTCCTGAAGACCCCACCTGAAGAAAGGGCCAATGATGATATGCTTCAGGGTGGCCTCCTTCAGGAAGCCCTCCCTGACTGCCCACATGCTGGAATGCAGCAGTTGTTTCCTCTGATCTTCCTTCACCCTAGTGGGCTCGTCTTTGCTAACAGAGAGCTCCCTGCCAGCAACCCCCGCTACTCTGAGACCCCAGGGCCAGCACAGAGTGGGGTATGGGAGGCACACATAGAGTAAGACAGGGAAGGAAATGCAGACCTGAGCTAGGGGCCAGGGGTGAGACTTCATTATCCCTGGGATGGTGATGACCCCGCTCTGTGTGATGGCTCTGTGGAACAGCCCTGAAGCCACTGGGGACAGGACCTGAGTGCAGTGGAGAGAGCAGGTGGCTGTCAGAGGAGGGCAGAGGAGCTGGGAGGTCTGAGGGCACAGGAGCCCTCCTGGCCACATTGCTAGGTCCCTTTCATGACTTACCAGGCCAGAGGCAATGCTTCCACCAGCGGATCCACCAAAGACGGTGACACAGTTGAGGTCACCCCCGAAGGGGGTGATGTTTCCCTGCACCCAGCGCAGAGCAGCCACCACATCTAGGAAGCCCTGGTTGCCAGGTGCATGCTCATCCCCAGTGCTGGGGGCAGGGTGGGGCAAAGGTTAGTTCAGCCTGGCTCCTCACCAGCCTCTGTAGGTTTGCTTGGAATCAGCCACCAGGATGCCAGGCCCTCCTCTGTGCCCCAGGTCTGGCCTGACTGGGAGCCATGCTTGGCATCTACATGCCCAGCGTGTGGTATAGGCAGGTATGGCTGAGTGGCCAGCCAGGGTTGGTTCTCATGGCTGCCACAGCCTGTTGCTCTTTGTCCCATAACCTGCTGGAACCTGGTCTCCAGCCTAGAAATCAATGCCCTCTGCCCAAGGGACCACATTTGCTGTATACTTCTGGCTTTGGCTGGACCCCTCTCCCGGGGTGGAGGCTTGGGGAGTGCCCTTCTCTGCCCCAGACAGCATGGGTAAGGGGCCTTCCATTCAGGATCTGGACCCCAGCCTAGATCCCCAGTTGCTCTGGTGAGCTGGCTTCTCCCCGGTGCAGGGAGTGCTCTGGCCAGCCCTGCCATCTCACCTGAAGAAGCCAAGGACTCCGAGGCGGTACTGGACGGTAACCACGACCACATCCCCATAGGCAGCCAGGGCCGATCCATCATAGGAGGTTGCAGCGCCAACCACCAGAGAGCCTCCATGGAACCATACCATGACCTGCAGAGGTGGCCATGGGGCAGTGGCCCCCAAGCTCCTGGGACCTTAGGTACCCACCTGCCAGCCCAGGGCATTCTCAGGACCTCTAGGGTGGTTTGGAAACTGGGACGGGGAGGGGACAGGGGGACAGAGTGGAGGTGGATTGGGTGGACAGGGCCCTCTGGGAGCCCACCGGCCTCCCGGCCCCTGTGGTGGCCTCAGCTGGGCTGTAGATGTTGAGGACCAGGCAGTCCTCCGAAACAGAGAAGATCTGATGTTTTCCGTTGAGCATAAATCTGTTGTTGTTCATTCTATCCACGTCTTGCAGGCACCTGTGGTCAAGGACAGGCCTGAGGTCCAGCTGTTCAGCCCCACAAGCCCCAGCTGCAGGATTCCTCACAACCTGGCTGTTTGCCACCTCCACCGCCACTACTCACATTGGGGGCGCAGTGCTGACATCCCGCACACCCTCCCAGGGCTGTGCTGGGCGTGGGGCTGAGAACCGGTCAGGGCCCAGTGGCGGAAGGGCAAATGGAATGCCCAGGAAGACATTCACAAGGCGGTCTGTGCCCTTCACGCCTACCTGCCGGCCTTGCACACGGCCCAGAGTGGTATCTACTTCAGGCTGAGCAACTTTGGGCCCTGAGGGAAGGACAGAGAGGTCATGGGGTGAGTTTGCAGCCTCCATGAGGGGAAGGAGTGAAAGACAGACACTCAGGCTGTTCTCAGTACTTACCACACAGCACCTTGGTAACCTTGCCAGAAAGCTGGTGAGCCTGGTCTTAGGTTGACTCCCAACTTCCTCCTCTCTGCCTGCCCAGGAGGCACTACCACTCCACTCCAGGCCAGATCGGGCCTGCCACTGGGGCCTTGAGCCTCGGGGCCAGCCACTTCCCATGTGCTTGTTTTTTTTGTTTTTGTTTTTGAGACAGGGTCTAGCTCTGTTGCCCAAGCTGGAGTGCAGCGGCACAATCTCAGCTCACTGCAACCTCTGACTCCTGGGTTCAAGTGATTCTAGAGTCTCAGCTTCTCAAGTAGCTGGGATTACAGGTGCACACTACAATGCCTGGGTCATTTTTGTATTTTTAGTAGAGATGAAGTTTCACCATGTTGTCCAGTCTGGTCTTGGACTCCTGACCTCAAGTAATCCACCACCCGGCCCTCCAAAAGTGCTGGGATTATAGGCATGAGCCATCAAGCCTGGCTGGAATTAATTTTCTAAAAATAGAGAGGAGGTCTCAGTATGTTGCACAGACTGGTCTCAAATGCCTAGGCTCAAGCAATCCTCCTACCTTGGCCTCCCCAAGTGCTGGGATTACGGATGTGTGCCATCATGCCCAGCCGGCACCATGTTTCTTGTGTGACCTGTAGAGCTGTGGGCCAAATACACCTCTTTTCTTTGTGAATTGTCCAGCTTCATGTATTCTTTTACAACAACACAAACAGACTAAGACCAGAGGACCGCCTCTCCCAGGTCTAGACAATGCCTAGACATAGGAGGCAGCTCTCTGGGGAGTTGGAATTGGCAGGCAGCTCTCTAGAAAGCAAATGCAAAACAGGCCAGAGCCATCCCCCAACCACCTCCTGTATACAGCTCTCAGCTCCTGACTACCATCCATCAGCCCTAATCACCCTAGAGCCAGGGACCAGGAAGCTGGGGACAGTCCCTTTGCCTCAGAGCCTACTGCCAATCCTAAACCTGTTTAGCCTACCTTGCCTATTCCTTCCCACGGAAACCATGGCAAAGGGGCTTGCCCACATTTTCCCCCTGCTCCCTCTCCCTCCTGGCCGATGGCACCTGCTGCTTCCTTCTGTGGCCCTGTGTGGCATGGCCTGCTTCCTGTTCACAGGGAACTGTGAGCAAACTCCTTCCCTGGTGATAGTCATCTGCATATCTACTTGTCTTACTACACTTGATTAAAACAAATCTCGGGCCCCCTTAAAACATAAAGACAGGCTGGGCACGGTGGCTCATGCCTGCAATCCCAGCACTTTGGGAGGCCAAGGTGGGTGGATCAGCTGAGATCAGGCATTTGAGACCAGCCTGGCCACATGGTGAAACCCCATCTCTACTAAAAATACAAAAATTAGCTGGGCATGGTGGCAGGTGCCTGTAATCCCAGCTACTCAGGAGGTTGAGTCCGGAGAATCACTGGAACCCAGGATGCAGAGGTTGCAGGGAGCCGAGATTGCATCATTGCACTCCAGCCTGGGTGACAAAAGTGAAACTCCGTCTCAAAAAAAAAAAAAAAAGGTAGCAAGAGCAAATCCCCTACCCAGAGAGAATGCACAACCCCTGGTCTGTCTCCAAACAGGACACTTTCCTGAGCGGGCTGCCCACTGCTTCCTGTCACTGTCTCACTCTTGACTCCTCCACACCAAGTCCCCCTGCAGGCCCAGCAGGTGTGTCTTACCATGGGCTGTGGCAAGGCATGCCAGGAGCAGACAGGCCACCCCGACCAGGACCCCAGACTCCACTCTCACTGCTGTCTCCATTCTCCTTACAACTAGTTGGACAGAAGCTTCAGAAGGTGGAACGAGATCCCTGCCCTTTGGCACCACCAGTCTCTAAAGGACGGTGTTGTAAACCTCCATGGATAGCCCCGCCTAGTTGGTGGCCAGCCCCTGGACCCAATGCCTCATCCTCAGGCTGAGTCAGAGGCAGGGCTGGATGAGTGCCCGACAGAGATCTGGATGATTATAGCCCTCCCCCATCCACTGTTTTCAAATTCCAGCTCTCCTGACTAGATCTCCATGAAATCCTGTGTGTTCATTCCAAGATGCCCACATCACTGACCCAAGGAGGTGGTGGCCAGTGACCCTGGGGTGCCACTTTGAGTGGACAATCTGGCCTGGGGTGAGGGCTTCATATGGTTTGGATGTTTTGTCCCCTCCAAATCTCATGTTGAAATGTGACTTTCAGGCCAAGCGTGGTGGCTCACACTTGTAATCTCAGCACTTTGGAAGGCCAAGACGGGTGTATCACTGAAGGTTGGGAGTTTGAGACCAGTCTGGTCAACATGGTGAAACCCATGTCTACTATAAATACAAAAAATTTAGCTGGGCGTGGTGGTGGGTGCATGTAATCTCAGCTACTCAGGAGGCTGAGATGAGAATTGCTTGAACCTGGGAGGCGGAAGTTGCAGTGAGCTGAGATCACGCCACTGCATTCCAGCCTGGGCAACAGAACCAGACAAAAAAAGCAATGTGACCTTCAGTATTGGAGGTGAGTCTAGTGGGAGGGAATTAGATCATGGGAGTGGATCTCTCATGAATGACTTGGTGCTGTCTTCCTGGTAATGAGTGAGTTCTCACTCTATAAATTCACTTAAGATCTGGTTGTTTTTATTTTATTTTATTTATTTTGGAGACAGTTTCACTCTTGTTGCCCAGGCTGGAGAGCAGTGGCACAATCTCAGCTGACTGCAACCTTTGTTTCCTGGGTTCAAGCGATTCTCTTGCCTCAGCTGCCTGAGTAGCTGGGATTACAGGCACCTGCCTTCATGCCCAGCTAATTTTTGTATTTTTAGTAGAGATGGAGTTTCACCATATTGGCCAGGTTGGTCTCAAACGCCTGAACTCAGGTGATCCACCCGCCTAGGCCTCCCAAAGTGCTGGTTTACAGGTGTGAGCTGCACCCAGCTGAAGATCTGGTTGTTTAAAAGAGCCGGGCAGGGGGTACAGTGGCTCACGCCTGTAATCTCAACACTTTGGGAGGCTGAGGCAGGCAGATCACGAGGTCAAGAGATCGAGACCATCCTGACCAACATGGTGAAACACCGTCTCTATTAAAAAATACAAAAATTAGCTGGGTGTGGTGCCGTGTGCCTGTGGTCCCAGCTACTCAGGAGGCTGAGGCAGGAGAATCGCTTGAACCAGGAGGCAGAGGTTGCACTGGGCCAAGATCATGCCACGGCACTCCAGCCTGGCAACAGAGCAAGAGAGCAAGACTCTGACTCAAAAGAAAAAAAAAAAAAAAGAGCCTGGCAGGCTGGGTGCAGTGGCTCATGTCTGAAATCCCAGCACTTTGGGAGGCCAAGGTGGGTGGGCAGATCACTTGAGCCCAGGCAACATGGTGAAACCCCTATCTCTACAAAAGATACAGAAATTAGCTGGGCATGGTGGTACACGCCTGTAGTCCCAGCTATTTGGGAGGCTGCGGCAGGAGGATCAATTGAGGCCAGGGAGTTGAGGCTGCAGTGAGCTGTGATGGCCTAGGCAACAGGGCAAGACCCTGCCTCAAAAAATGAAAGAAAAATACGAAAGAACCTGGCATTTCTCTTGCTCTCTCTCGCCATGTGATAACATCTGCCACATTATAAGCTTTCTAAGGCCTCACCAGAAGCTAAGCAGATGCTGGCAATATGCTTGTACAGCCTGCAGAACTGCGAGGCAAAGTAACCTCTTTTTTGTTTTTTTGATAGAAACTACCCAGTCTTAAGTAATTTTTGTTTGTTTGTTTGCTTGCTTGTTTTGGAGATGAGTTTTGCTGTTGTTGCCCAAGCCAGAGTGCAATGTTACAATCTCGGCTCACCGCAACCTCAGCCTCCCGGGTTCAAGCTATTTTCCTGCCTCAGCCTCCCGAGTAGCTAGAATTACAGGTGTCCACCACCATGTCCAGCTATTTTTTTGTGTGTGTGTTTTTTTAGTAGAGACAGGGTTTCACTATGTTGGCCAGGCTGGTCTCAAACTCCTGACCTCAGGTGATCCACCCACCTTGACACCCCAAAGTGCCGCGATTACAGGTGTGAGCCATCACGCCTGGCCCCAGGTATTTCTTGATACCAATGCAAAGTGGCACGTGTCCAGTCTTGCCTACTAGTGCTGTGCCTGAGCCTTGATGTGGGGTTGGGGAAACTGATGTTGACTTTTTTCTTAAATTGAGGTGAAATTCACGTACGATTAACTATTATAAAGCATATAATTCAGTGGCAATTAGTAGATTCCAAATATTATGCAACTACCACATTTCTAGTCACAAATCATTTTCATCACCCCAGCAAAAACACTTCATAACCATTAAAGGCTGGGCACGGTGGCGCACACCTGTAATCCCAGCAGTTTGGGAGGACGAGGTGGGGCAAATCACCTGAGGTCAGGAGTGCAAGACCAGCCTGGCCAACATGGCGATACCCCATCTCTATTAAAAATACAAAAATTAGCCAGGTGTGGTGGTGCACACCTGTAATCTCAGCTACTCAGGAGGCTGAGGCAGGAGAATTGCTTGAAACCAGGAGGCAGAGGTTGCAGTGAGCCACAGTTGAGCCACTGCACTCCAGCCTGGGCAGAGCAAAACTCCATCTCACAAAAACAAAACAAAAAAACCACTTTGTAGCATTTAAAAAATAATCATTACCCATTCCACCTGATTACCACTAATTTGCTATGATTTACCTATTCCAGATATATCATATAAAAACAATCATACAGACCAGGAATGGTGGCTCATGCCTATAATCTGGGCACTTTGGGAAGCCAAATTGGGTGGATCACTTGAGGCCAGGAGTTTGAGACCAGCCTTGGCAACAATATTGAGAACTTGTCCCTACAAAAAATAAAAATATAAATAAAGAATCATACAATAAGTGATGTTTTTGGTCTGGCTTCTTCCACTTAGCATAATGTTTTTGAGGTTCATCCAA